GATATGGGCTCCCAGGAAGCAGCAAACTTCCCGGGCTAAGGGGTTGGGGTGGCAGATTACCCCCTCAGCCCTCGTCAGGATGGAGTCTTCCGTGACAAACACTTTGCGTTTTGTCTTGGGGAGTGCTGGGGCAGTAGCTACAGTAGAGCCCGTGTTGCCTGTGGGTTCTGGCAACTCAGCAGGCTCTGCTGGGGCTGCAAGAGGTTGGTACCTGTTGCAAAGCTCCAGCGGGGCAGGGGCCTTGGTGTGGCACGCCTTGGGGCCCTTGACCACCTTGGTCCATCCCCTGGGTTGGACAGAATGGGAAGTCCCTGAGTCCTCCCTTGTCCTGGAGGGAGACTGTGGTCTACCCTCTACCTCCCAGGGGAGCAGGGCCTGGCAGTAGGAGTTAATCTCCTGCTCACAGTCCCTAATGGCACGCAGTCTCTGGACTGCAGCCTGGAGCTCCTCCACCTGGTGTGCCAGACACCCCAGTAGGTAACAGACCCCACAAGGGGAGGTGGCCATGCTCCCGGGCTCCAGAGCCAGAAAAAGTGACAGGCAGCCCGCACAGCCGAGAGCCAGAGGCTCTGTCTGTGCAGAGCCTGGAACCATGGGCTCCGTCTGGGTGGAGGTCTCTGAGGTGCTGGCGGGGGGGCACAGACCTTGCGAGGACCCTCAGGGTGTGGTGCATGCCCATCCATGTCATGCCGCTGGTGGGCTGGCTACGGCTGGGACTGTCTACTCTGGGGGGCTCACAGGCAGGGCCTTGGGCCCTCTCGCTTGCCGTCCTGCCCAAACTCCCACGCTAACTCGCGTGTTGGGGCCAGGAGCACGCTTGTTTGCACGGCCTGTTCGCGAGGCTCCGGTTGCATGGCCCCCTGGGGGGCTGGCCCAAGTAGGAGCTGGGGGTGGGGACTAAGAGGGCCCCCCCCCCAGCCCTCTTAGTCCACTCCCAGCTGACTAGGTCCCTTCCTCCATGGGTCCCTGCTTACCTGTGGGCAGGCCAGGGCTTGTTGGGGGGCTTGGGGTCTCTGCTGGGGTCCCTGGGCTCACGGGGGAGCAGCGGGCTTACGCCTGTGCATCTCGCATTGGAGCCGGGACACTGTCTCGCCAGGACAGTGCATGGTTGCAGTGAGCTTCCCTGTGTGGCCCTGCTGTGCCCTGCAGTGCTGGGTCAGACATCCTGGGCTGAGGAGGCCCTGGGGGAGAGCAGAGCAGGGAGCCTGAGCCTGCAGTGGGCAGCCCATGCCCATCCCCACCCCATTCACAGATCTGGGGGGACAGGTCCCTGTGTCCCGCCCCAGGAGTGCACGCAGCAGTGGGGAGGTGGCCCTACTCTTGCCCGAGCCCGGGGATGGGATGGGAGCTGGGCTTCACACTGCTCTGCTGCAGCAGCCATCATCTCTTGCCAGGGAGCAGGGGGCTGTGGACCTGGGGCCCTGGCCCCATAGCCCTGGCATCCAGGGGCCCCTTCCAGCAGGGCTGGGGGGGG